GCAATTATGTGAATCCAGTGTTGTATCATTAGACCCTTGAAGGAAATGCATCACTCTAAGCACAGAGTTTCATCCGGTGTCTATACACCCGATGAGTGAATTCACCTGAGTGAATTCATGACTCATGATGCATTCTGAGGCTGCTCGGCAAATGTGATCTCTCTTTGCATGCTTCTGGCATGACAGGTTTTAGGAAGGTTACTGGTTTTCTCATGTAGCTGGATCACAGAACACCGGATACTTGTTCCCACAGCCTGCCAACCATGGCGTCTATGTTGGGGTTATCTCTTGGCAACAAGATAAATACTCTGACTGAAATGTTACACTCCCTAACAGGGCTTGTTTCAGGTGCAAACTTTCTCATACTCCTGGCTGGCCCAGGGCAGTATCTTAAAATAGGCCAGGTTTGCTTTCTTTTGCCCTGGAATCTGCTATTGTCTCTCTGTGGCCTGGGCTCACTCTCACCCAAAGCCTTCTCGTTCTTTTGCTTATCCTCTTCACACACCCCACAACTCCTTCCCTGACCACCTCTCCCCACTCTGTCAAAACCCTTTCCGTAGGAATTTAGAAACATGTGTTATTTCTCCTAGAGCCATTAACATGATGACTTTTATTGCTAATTATAGAAGGAGATGTTTATTCTCTGATAAAGATATTTCAAGAAGTTACCACATGACGTCTCAGCCAAGGGGACCCCAAATTCACACCACAGAGGTGGCCACTTTCATATCCACTGACTCCTGCTCACAGCGACAGCTACTTAAATTTCTAGGGAGAACCACGCTACCATAATACTAAGTCTAACTAATACGAATGATTTTTTTATAAAAACAATGTTTCAATATATTTAATGGAAAGTCATTAGTAAAATAAGATTATGAGATAGCATTTTATGTCAAAATGGGACTTCCTTTTTGACCTAAAATTGTATCGCACTTTGGATAATTTCAGTGGTGACATCATTGCGGTGAGGGGTGATACATGTGTGTATTGCCCATCTACCCAGCAAATCCTACAGGGAGGATAATTATGGAAGTCCCAGTGGTTGTTCATTCAAAGGGGAGAAGAGAAAAGAATAGCATTGCAATGTGCTGAGCATGAACAAGGCGTTCAGCAAACACTTAGTGAGCACCTTAATTTGAGCCAAGTGCCTATCTCTGTCTCTGGGGAAGACGATCGTGGTTTATGGAGCTCATGGGAGACAAACACTCAGCGGTTAACGCGCAGGCTGCTCATTCACAGTCGGACAGGTGCTTCAGGGAAAAAAACACAGTGCATATAATCTCCCGATCAGAATATTAGAACTTTAGTCATAAAGCTGGTTTCTGATTTTTGCCTTTCTTTCTCCTTTAGACGTGTTTCATTGTAGTGCTACTGGAAAGAAAATAAACACCTCAATATAGATACTTCGATCATGTATTGCTGGTTCTTTAAAAGTAATGCATGTCTATTGTGGAAAACGTGGGGAATTTTTCTTAAATAAAAAAAAGTTGACAAACATCTATGAAGTTACTACAATCACTTCCCATTTTGACACATTTCCTTCAAGTCATATGTCTGCACATATTTCACTTATATGGTCGAGGTCATATTGTATGTACAACATTATACATATCTAATGTTTCTTACCACTTATGGTAAGTGGTATTATAATTTTTCTTATCACTTATGATTGGTTTATGGTTTTTTTTTTTTACCACTCTTTACCACTTATGATTGTCTCACCCATTTTCCTAGAAGATAAGAAAATGAGCTAGTGGGGGACTTGCCAGTTCATTATTCTCAGCTTCTGCCGAAGTGATCCGACCGACAGCTGTTGCAAGTACAGTTTCATCCATCAGTTTTTTATTTCAGGTGCTGTACTTTTTAGTTCTTGACTTAATCTTATTTATCTTACAACGGTAAGGCTCACTACGTAGAAGCTCTGCTCTTCTGACTCACGTACTGGCCGGGCTCTTGCAGTGGTCGGGCACACAACTACCGCCAGTTACATTCTTCCGCTACGTTTTTCAGATTTTTCTTCCCCTTTACGGGTTTTACAAGCAGCTTCCCTTCTCTGGAGTTTATGTAGGATCTGAAGGATCTCAGGCAGCCACTCAACAGCCTTGGCCTCCCACGTCTGTAATTTTGGTGCTTTCCCCTTTCGATCTTCAAATTTCTCGTTTATCTTTATTCTCTCCGGGAGGCCTCCAACACACGCGTATCAATCCTTCCCCTCTTTTCTGTGACACCGCCTCCCATTGGTGCCATTCATGTGGGCTTCTCATCATGTATTGCCTTTTACGCTTCCTCCAATAGTTTGATGCATGACCATCTTCTCTTTTTATACTGAGCTCATAAAATTTCTCTAGTCTCTAAGGCAAGTTCCAAATCTGGCCACCCACAATCACTCCGTTAGCTCGCTAACCCTGTGGAACACTTACTATATAAAAGATGATACGCTAAGCGCTTGGCAGACATGATCTCATCTGCTCTTCACAAAAGCCTGTGTCATTCAGGAATGCTTAAATAATATAGACTTATTATGTATCATCTCAGGTAACAATAACAATAAGAACAAAGACTAGAGGTAAGTAGTTTCCAGCATTGACTTGGGAGTGCTCCGAAGTCAGGGCTCTGGTTTGCATCTCGGCAAAGCTCTTGGCCTTCCTCTATGGTTGATGTATGGGAGCTTCTCTTGGCATCACATCCTCACACAGCCAGGCTCAAAATTGGGTAGAAGGGGATGGCATAGGACAGGGAGTTTCTCGTTTTATGTCTCCCTCTTATCGGGAAGGAAAAATTTCCCCAGACATTCCCCAACAGAATTCTCCCAAACCTCATTGACCAGGATGGGGTTATATAGCTGCCCCCCAGACCCACAATGAGGCCCTCCTTCCCCAGGACAAGGAATCTCTTGCTACCCGAACAAAATCAGGGATAAGAATAGCAAAAACTGGATTGCTTTTGCAGAGGCAGGGAATGGTGCCGGCATCATTAAGAAACTTAAGCTCAGAGAGGTTGAGGAAGAAATTTGTGCAAGATTATACAACTAGTAAGTGGCAGAAAGAAAATTCAAGTTAGAACTTTCTGAGTCTCTCAGAATCAATGTCTGTGCTCACCATACTAAAGAGCCTTTTGAGAAAATTTTAGCATCTTGCTCAGTCAAAAGATATTTTGTCAGTACCAACTTGATGCTCGGCACTGTTCTTGCTGCTGAAGGGGCATCGAGTGTAGAATCTATTTAGGAATGGAAGCCCACTCAAATGAAATATCTAGAATACACATGATTGATTAGTGAATTAAGAATACATTTTTATATTGTAGGTCTAAGAGGTGCAGATCTGTGTAGCATGAGTTCTCTGAGGATTGTGGAAGTCAGACTGGATGTCAGGGAAGCTGTGGGGTATCAGCAGAACCTCAGAGATTTGGGTCAGTGGGGTGAAGGGAGGATGGCATTCCTGTTGAGAAGAAGGGGAGAGACACCTGGACCAGCAACGGAATCTACTGATCACTCACTGAGGCAGAGATCTGGCTGAGCACCAGGGGATGTTAAAACTTGTCAAAGGGTCAATGGCTGCCTATGAGTTTCCTTTGGTGTCATGGAGGAGCTTAGGAGTTGAAAGATTATTGTTGAGGGTGGGATTCCACCTTTTTCTGATGTGACCTGAGATCTTCCAGCAATTAAAAAAATCAAGTAACTTGGGTTTTGGCTGCCAGACACAGATTCTGAAGAACACACGGATCCCATTGTCCTTCTGATAATAACGAGGGGTTTGGGCTAAGTCACCCCCACTCCTGTGGATGGGAGACTCACATAAGCAAGATGAGGTAAGGGTAGATCGAGGTCTGTGAACCACGGGCGAACTAAGAAGCTTACAGATGGCTCAAACCCACAGCCTTTGTCTCACTGACACTCAGGTTGTGAACCCAGCTCTCTAAGCGCGGACACGGAGCTCACCCCAGCAGCTGAAAAGAAATATGGTGCTTTTACTTCTAACCACCCTGTCCCTTGGAGGATTTCCTACACATAAAAGTAAAGCAAATAGACGAGAAGCCACCTTTACAATGTGTTGCACTTTTCAATTAGCTCTAACAATATAACCATGTTTAGACTCAAATTATCTTTCATCATGCCTATTTTTTATCTGTTTTTGTCCTCTAATTCCTTTGGCTGTATTGAAACACCTAGTGACTTTTTTTTTTTCTAAACGTTGCTTTTCTTTTTTTTTTTTAAGAGAGAGAGCATGGGCATTTGTGACAGGGGTGGGGAGGGGCAGATGGAGAGGGAGAGAGAGAGAGAATCTTAAGCAGACTCCCTGCTCAGCGTGGAGCCTGACGCCTCAGGGCTCGATCTCACAACCCTGAGGTCACTACCTGAGCGGAAATCAAGAGTGGGATGCTTAACTGACTGAGCCACCCAGGTGCCCCCACCTAGTGATTTTTTTTCAGTCAAGTTTTCAACATCATGATCCTAGAGCTAAAAGTCAATTGCTAGTACACAGTGGATTTTCTCTGTATAATAAAAGATAAGATCTGTGCTGGAAACATGAGCAAATAGAAAGTTATTTGGGTGTGGCAGGTGGCAGGAGATTTGGGTGGAAGCCAGAATTATTTAGGAAATTCTACTTTGAGAAATCTAAAACAGTTTAAAATAGAGGCTCTCCAAGAAAGAAAAATAGTCGTTCTCTTCCTCTTCATGCCCAAAGGGTCACTTGGGGGCTGTCTAGAGTCAGAGAGAAAGGATTCTGTTGTCTTTAAATATTGCAACCCACGAGCCATCCCCGTGCAATGTTAAAAGGTTATTGTAGAATTCGGCACTGTCCTTGGGCGCAGGTGTAGAGGGGGACACTTGAAACGGGCTGATAAACTTCAGGTAATTTTAACAGGCATGTGTAGGTATTGCCAAATTCTCAAGTTTCTGAATGACGTCATCCTCTGAACAAATTTCTTAAACGGTGCCTTAGCAAACAAACCTTTTTACAATAGTGATGTCTTGCTGAGTAAAATGTTGAATCACTCAAAGGATAAAGATTAGAAAGAGAGCGAGAAAAAAAAAAGCCTCTGTGGGAGGGGCAGAGCTTTATATAACCAGTCTCCCTGTCTGCACTATGATAGCTCTCTGAGGACAGACAGTTTCTTCTCAGCAGTGCCTCCGGGAATAACCAGGTATTTCATTGATTTCCGTGGCCATGGAAACAGGCTTTCATTTTTTTCCCTCTTGCTTTGTACCGGGATTATTAATAGCGAAAATTAAGGTGTGGGGTGTCTTTAGGAGATGAGTAAAAATGTCATGGTGTTTTCTTGTTTAGATTTCTTTTAAGTGAAAATATTTTAGGTCAAGATTTGAATTAAATTTGTAGTAAGGCTTAATCTTGAATCTCAGAAGCCAGCAGATGCCTGTGTAACATTAACTAAACTAAAGCGACCAATCAAGTTGAGATGTTGATTTTATCGAACAGGTTAGAATATGTATATTCTTTACTAACTAGGGCTTTGACACTGAATTGGATGGAAATGGTTAGATCAATTAACAGACAGTAATTTAAGCAATGAATGTAATCTATAAATTGTATATAAATATATAAAAATAAGAAAGATGATAGTATCTAAAGCTATCAGAAATTACAGAAATTCAGCAGCAAACTGAGTTGGGTCTGTTCAACCCCACCTTATATTTATTGAATTTAGTTAAATAATTGGTCAATTTAGTGGAAGAGAAAAATTTGCCAAACTAGTTGTTGGATTGACTGAAATTACTTCTGATTTACTTCAGGTTTAATAAATCATTTAATACCCATAAACAGACACTCATTCATTATGAAAATCATCAAATAACAGGAACTGCTTTTAATTTTGTTGGGGGAGAATGTGCTAAGTTTGGATGGGACGTTTCCTTGAAGGTACTATTTTCTCTTTGTTTTCATGGATTTTTGTGGTCAATTTCTAAATGTTTGCACTATGTTGTCACAAAAAAAAAATTGTTTTAAATGACACAACAGACTCAAATCTCGCATCCAGCGCCAACAAGAAGAGGGCCATAGTGGCGCCTGGGGGCACCTCCCAGCTTCCTGATGATGTGTGCTGAGTTTTAGGGCACGTTTGTTAACTTGTGTGGCAGGAAGTGACACAGATATCTTGGAGCCCAGCCCCATGTATGCTTTCCATTTATTCTTCCTCGTGATAATATTAAGCCTTAATTAGCAGCATGATATTTGGAAGTTAATGAAACAATTTTTAAAAATTTTAGTGGTAAGAAACTCACAACAGGTATCACCTGTTTTGGGCGATGATGCTATTTGACATCATTCTGACTTCAGTTGTACACTGTCTCAGGCAGATTCCCGCCTAAAGGTAAGGCGTGGAGTTGTCTGAGAGGAAACTTGCCATATGTGTGCCCTCATAGATTTCTAAGACTGCAAACTTTTCAAACCTCATGTGAAAATCACCAGACTTGGAATCGGAGAGCTGAGATTCAGTCTAGGCTCTGACTAGCTGTGCAGTCTACATCTCCATATTTTTTGTAACAAGAAATTACTAGGTTTTCCTGGGCAGGTAATAATACAAATTAAACAAAAACAGAGCTGCTGAAGGAATTTGGTAACTGCAATATAGACATGAGATATTATTTTTTATGTTAAATAGTTATTTGCACCGTATTTAAAGAATAAAAACTAGACTATTTTTAAAAGAAGTAAACGCATCTGGGACAATTTAATGCTGTCCTTATGTACTTTTTTCCTTTATAAAGTCACCAGAAATCTATCAAAAGCCTCTCTGATAGTTTGTTTAAACACTTACATTTTGTTAGTGTCAGAGTGACTGATACGCAGGATACTATGAAGGATCCGGTCTAGGAGAAGCCTGCAGTTACTTTTCTGGTTCTGAGCCCTTATTTATTTTCTTCACATGAGGATAGAGATATGTTTTATTTATGATATTGATTCTCAGTTTGTTTCCAAAATGTTACTGAGGTAATTTACAAAAACGATCTGCCCAGTAAGACTAATTAGTTTCAAGACAATTTTAAATCGGTAGAAGGAAGGGGAAACAAATGTGTGAGCCACCCAAGTTAACCTAATCTCAGTGATGAAGCAAGGAAAAAAAAAAAAAAACACTAGCAGGGTTTGGGTTGTTTTTTTTTTTTTCCCACTTAATACGCCTTCTAGGAGCATTACAGACTTGCTACCTTCCTATTTTTATTTCCTCTTTCTAGCATTTCTCAAGCTAGTAACCTACCTAAACTCTTACACATAATAGTGAAGTTCACCACCAGCAGGAGAGGGAGTGTGAGGCAGTGTGGATTGAGTGGGTTCCTGAAGCAGACCTAGGCTCAAATCCCTGTACCACTGCATAGAAGCTCTGTGACTTGCAAGTTACTTAATCTCTCTGAGCGTCAGGAGGTAACCTATAAAATGAAGATAACAGTATCTACCGCTTTAGATCCTGTGAGGATTGAATGAGAAGAGGTGGTTTCAGGGACAAACTTTGCTTAATTTACAGTTTTGTCTCAATAAAATACAATTGAGTGGTATTTCCAATGAGACATTTTGATACAAATTGCAATGATTTTCTTGAAAAGAAGTGTTCACGAACCAAGTGTTGCCCCAAGACTGCCCTGGATTGGGGAGGGAAGGCAGTGCTGGCCCTTGCTGGGAAGCCTGCTGAGTGAGCCAAGCCTACCGAAGAGGACGTCCCTCACCTCAGGACCTCCCTCTGCCCCTCCTCAGCTCTGGGAAGCCACTGTCACAAAGGTTCCTGTGGGATGAACATCAGCGTCATTTGGTATATTTATGTATTTTGGTAATTATAGGGTGTGTTTTAAGCCACCGTGAAAGCAAAACACACAGCCAGAAAAATGATCGCTGGCCAGTACCAACAGATACCCACACACACCTCGGGTGTGCCCATGCTTTCCCCTTCACACGGAGACTTGGGTCACGGAAGATGTGTCTGTCCTTTATCTTCAGGTGGTAATAGGGTGTGTGTGTGTGTGTGTGTGTGTGTGTGTGTCTGTTTCGTGTTCATTGCATGCAGGCTACCTGAAATGGATTTCCTTGATTGGGGGCGGTGAGGAGAAGCAGGTGGCCATTCCAGCAGGCCCCCCCCCGCCCCTGTACTGAACTCCTTAGTGTGGAAAGCTGTTTTATTGCAGGCTGTGGATGTAAGTGTGTGTGTAGGGGGAGAGGGGGTACAGGAGGTAGGAGCTGGGTAAAAATACTAACCCTCAAATGATGAATCTAAGCCACTTCTAGAAACAGGGAATCTGAAAGAAGATAGACAATCTCAAGTGGGGCCAACAAGAATGTGTTTGAATATTCTTGTATTTGCCCATGTGTGTGCTGGATATTTGCAGATGCAGCCCAGAGGTTGAAAACATGACCCTGGAGGCCACCCACCTGGCTTCCATGCCTTATAGTTGGGTGACACTGGTCACTTTCTTGATCGTCTGAGCTATAGTTTCTTCCTTCATAAAACACAAATAACAATGCCTTTCTCATAGGGTTTTGGCAAGAATTAAATGGTTGGTGGAATGTTTAGAACAGCATCTGTTGTACAGTAAGAGTCTAATAAATGCTATTCATTGTCATTGCTGTTATTATGATTGTTATATGGAGCATCCCTACTCATCACTTAACTGTTGCATCTCAAGATCAGCTACAGGATCCAGTACAAAAAGAAAATGCAGCACCCCTTGTTCAAAATTATGAAGAATTTTAAGTTGGTGACAGCAGAGCATCACTCGAAACCTGGAGCCCCATGAGGCTGCACAGGTCACATGACCATGTTGCCATCCGGGCTCTAGTTCATGTTGTTCCATGAAGGAAGAACAGAGAGGGAACCCCTGTGCAGAGTACACCCTGTCCTACTCAGCCGACATCACCCAAAGTGTTGAGTCATCTTTCAGAGCTGTTTCTTTCTTCCTCACTTTCCTTCCAGATTGAAACAATGGAAGACCTTTATGTGGCCAACACAATCTTTGCCCTCAATTTTTTCAAGCATCTGGCAAATACTAGTGCCACCCCAAATCTCTTCTTCTCTCCATGGAGCATCTCATCCACCATGGCCATGGTCTACCTGGGTGCCAGGGGCCACACTGCACATCAGATGGCCAAGGTGAGTGTCTTAAAATTCCAAACTAGGACTGGGTCTCTCCTGAATGGATTTATAGAATCACAATTTTATGCTTCAGGTAGCTTGACTTTACCAAGGTCAATAGTTGTCATGTGCCATTACCACACAAGTTCCCGAGATTCAAATCTATGAAACAGCTAAACCATGAAAACTCTTAACTGTAGATTGCAGAGTGTCATGAACAGCTGAGGTCACCACACCGCTGGAGATGTGAGGAGAGCAGTATGACTTCAGAGGGCCTCAGCCATATTCACCCCCGTGAGTGAGTTCATGTCAACAAAATGGTGTCTGGTCTGATGGCCAGTTTTCAAAATCAGGGTGGACAGGGTGTGCGGGAGCATTGTGAGGTCTTTCTGTCAAGGCCCCTGGCTTCAGTCCTTGGTGAAGGGACACAAGCTCAGTCAGGGGACTCTTTCACTGAGTCTGGGGCCTTGGAAATACACCATATACCACAGGGCTCCAGTGGGATGAATTCAGTGCCTTTAAAAAAGCACCTGCTCCTGTTATGTCCTAGGTCAGTGAGCTGGATAGGGTCATGATATAATTAAGATTCTTTCAGATTCGCATAACCACAGATGTTGACATTGTATGCTTGAGCTACAGGCCCTGCTTTCTCACAAGCATGCACTGTGCTCTCAGTTACACCAAAATGCCCCCGGCCACTTTGGGGTTTCCCATGAGAACCACGCCTCAGCCTACAGAGGTCCTTTGATGGTACACGGTGACCCATTTACCATGGACCGGGTTTGAGGTTGTTCACAGGGAGGGTTAGCCAATCTCGCTGCACGAGGCCAGGAGGTAAAAGGCATCCCTCCCTGTGTGTGTGGCAGTTTAAACATCCTGGCTTACAACAAAACTCAGTTGCTCAACCCTGATACCAGCACTGTTTGGCAATACTCCTTCCCCTTTACTCTCTTCCCCTTGGGCAGGGAGAAACTTGAACTGCATGGCAAACTTCAGAAAACATCAGGGTCTTAATTTTTTAACTGTAAAGGGAGCAGAAGTAACATATTGCGAGGGAGAATGAGAAATGAAGTACTCTAGGTTGTTAAAATAAAAAAAAAAATAGTTTTGACACCAGAGGCAAATGAACGTATTGGTCACTCTGGGCACAGACGGCTTTTCTGTATCTAGAAAGTGCTTCACGCATGTGGGTCTATGCAAAGATGTTATATTGTTTTCCTATAACTCTGCTGCATGTACTGATTTTACAATTCGAAGGAAAATGTGGTCAATTCCCTGCTAAAAAGAAGAAGAGGGGCTCTTTGGCTTGGAGGAAGAAGGGCAGACTTCGGGGACAGGCCAGGCGGTGTGGAGTGGTGGCTTCGCCACTCTTTACTAGCTCTGTGAGGGAAGGCACCGGGACTCCCTGAGCCTCAGCGCTCTCGTCTACACAATGGGAATGAAGAGTGCCCAGCCTGGAGGACAGGTGTGAAGATTGGAGTTAACCCGCAGAGCGTCTGGGAGCTGTATCTGTTCCAGCAGCGGGTGCTCCTCGGCACCTTAGCCAGGGGCCCCAGAGCATTCTATGAATTTGCCCACATGCTGCACGACGCTATGAGCTAGAGGCTATGAATCCCATACTCATTTGACGGACCAGGAGGCGGGGCCGGGAAGAGGCCCCATGGCTGGGACTTGGTGTGACTGGTAAATTCACGGTGTTATAGTGGGAAGGATGGAAAGACATGGAAGGCTCTTATGTTCAGGATGAAGCCCCAGGCCTGCTGGGGCTCCGCTGCCTGGCTGAGCAGTGTGCCTGCCTCTATTTACCCTGTGGCCTCCGCATGGCCCAGGGTCCCCTCCCATCCCCCATTTCTGCGGGGGCTTTTGCAGCAATTCAGGAAGTCTTTAGGGCTAGCCAGGAGACTCTTGATTTTTAAGGATCAACTTCCTTAGAAGGGATGAAAACCAGAAAAGCTGTTTCAAGAAATATTCCTCCCTCCTGCGAGGACAGAGTAGGGCCACTTCTTTCCAGAGTGTTAGATGGGACTTATGATGTATGATCGAAAGAGCAGAGAAAGATCCCGTAGCCCTTAACACCTGTCCTGCCAACCCAGAAGCTCACGACCTGGCTGGACAAGCTTGCGTTTCCTTTGTCAGCAGAGTCCCCACCATCAATCCATTGACCAGATAGGTTCCCCCTCACCACGGGCCTCACAAGGGATGTGACGCAGGCCCAACGGGACCCAAAGGATGTGGGAGGTTGCGGGGAGGCCTGGGTGCAGGGCCAGCCTAGGGGTGCTGAGACCGGAGACGCCAGGCTAGAAAGCTGTCATGCTGGGAAGGAGCCTGAGGCAGCTTCGTAGGACCAGCCTTCACCTGCCAGCTTCACTGTGTTTTCTGGATCTGACACTTACATCATCTGACCCCGGTCCCGTCTCCCACACGGGTTTCTATGTGTAGTGCGGCGTATGCCAATATTTTAGGGGATCCCTGTTAATAGTGAGTAACCGTGTTTATGCTTAAACTAACTTGGGCTTGTAGTTTTTGACAGATTAAAAGTGGATAATAGATAAGGCCATTGAAAAGACAGAGACATGCAAGGTCGTGAATTAACCTTATTACTTTCTTCAAAATACTGGCATTTTTTTTTTTATCAAGGGCATTTATGGGTTGGATGATAATTTAGATACTTTAGTGAAGAGGTTATAAATCATCTCATAATAACCAATTATTGTCAAAATGGCCAGTATATGGATTAGTATAAAATAACTCAAGCTGTTTCTTGTGAGGGAAATTTCAGTTGCAGACACTTATATATTATGTATAATGAATATCTGTGCTTGATTCCAAGATGCAAAGGCAGGGAAGTAGATGGGACTGCTAAGAGGTACCTGAGGGCCATTGGTTTAAAGGTGAAGTAATCTAGCAGGAAACCATACTCATAAATATGCTCTCTCTAATTCCAAATGTAGGTGTTTCAGTTTGACAAAGTTGGAGCCCCGAAGACCCCAGTGACCCTAGAGAAACTCACAGGTTGTGAACTCATGCAGCAGATCCAGAAGGGCACTTATCCTGAGGCTATTTTGCAGGTATCTGACTCACTGGTTCATCATTTCTTTTGCACTTTATTTCTAGAATCTTCTTGTCTTAAAGTCACAGTAGTAGACAGGGAAGGAACCTAGTACAACTTCCCTCATTCATAGAAAGAAAACTAAGACTCAGAGCCCTTAAATAAATATCCTATGGGCACACAGATAAATATGGGCAGGACCAGAATAGAATCTAGACTTCAGGACTTTTAGGTCCAAAACTGGTTCTAGATTTAATCATACCACTCTGCCATTAGTTGGGCATGTATAATTTATTCTGAAATCGTGGTAGCAACTCCTAGAATACACATGCATGGATGCAGATTTCTAGGTGGAAGAAGGTAAAGAGTGACAAGCAATTGAGGAATGGGGTAGGTCAGGCCCGATGACTTCATGAGAGACCACTGACCCTTAGATATCCCTCTCAACTCCTCTGTTTATTTATCACCTGTCCATGTATGTATGTATCTATGTATGTATGTACATATCTATTCAGCATCTATCTATCTCAGGTACTAATTAATATCTTTTCTCAATATTTCCTTAAACATCAGCTCTCCAGCTAACTTACAGGAACTGGGCATAGATGTACTCCTATTGATGAGCAACTTCCATAATACGCTCGTGGGTTAGGTAGGGGGAGATCTCCCATAGCTTCCTTCTTGGAATGCGGCTCCATCTGCCTGTTGCCCAGGGAATTATGGGCTGGAGGAGGTCCAGAGGGCCCCATAAAGATGGCAATCCAGCCAGGTCTCCTGTGACACCTGGAAGTCCATCTGCAGGGCTCTGTCCGCGGCTTCACCTGCTGCTAGCTGTTGTGGGACCGAGCCCTGTGGCTGTCATCATGCTTACAAACTCCGGGCTGAGGATTGGAATTCACCTACAATTTTCATGGCTTTCCAAAACCCAGATTTCCCACTGTACAGACTACCCTTTAATGGGCACTTTCAGACACATACTAACTTTTTCTAGAATATTTCTTTGGTAATGTTTTAATATAATAAAATCCCTCAGAGACCTTGAAGTTTAGGAAATTACAAAAGAAGCCTTACTTTCTTCTAGGACGTTGGTTACTTCAAGGTTAAGTACAATCTGTAGGTACAGCAAAATTTGAAACAAGTAAAACATTACCTTATGAGTTTAATGCACTGTATCAAAAGTATTTCCTCAGAGATTCCTCTAAAGTGTCAGAAAATTCTAAGTGTGCATTAATACAGCATTTTATTGTTGCATTGAAAAAAATACATTTACTTAACGAAGTATCTTGTTTAGCCGTCCTGTGTTACATAAAGAGATCCCTCCTTTCTGTTTAAGGCACAAGCTGGAGCTTCAATCCATTCATCCTTCCGCTCTCTCAGCTCTGCGATCAATGCATCCACAGGGGAGTATTTATTGGAGAGCGTCAATAAACTGTTTGGAGAGAAGTCTGCGAGATTCACGGAAGTAAGTGAAACCTGCAATTGAAATGGCAGGGCCCCCAGTGTGCAATGAGGTCACCTTCAAAGCTTCTGTCTGTGATTCACAAGGAGAGTCAGAATTCCACACCAGCTCCCTGAGGCTCCAAACGCCCTGGGTCACAGCTGCAGGTGCGCACGCTCCCGTGGCTGGGCGCTCCCTCCCACGGCTGCAAAGGCCCCATGTGCAGAGTGACTGCTAAAGCTGGGGGAACAGTGATTTCCAGAAACGCTACCCACGAGCCAGCTTTCACCCCCTACTCAGGGTCTATAATGCACAGTGCAGGAGAGCAAATGAGTGTGGGCAAGGGGGTCAACGGAGCTCTTTTGATCCACACTATTTCCTCTTGCAGCCTCCCAGCCCCTCATAGCCACCCTCCACCCTTTCCCCTACTTCAGCCCCTTAACCAGCCCTCCCCAAATCTTGACAAAAGCCCGTGATTTACAATTACACCAAGTCTTTTTCAGTATATATACTCTGTCACCTTTGGCCCGTTTCTTGCTTTAAAGGAATATATGCAACTCTCCAAGAAATACTACTCTACGGAACCCCAGGCTGTCGACTTCCTAGAGTGTACTGAAGAAACCAGAAAAAAGATTAATTCCTGGGTCAAGACTCAAACCAAAGGTAAAACCAAAGCAATATTTCCTGTTCTTCTTTTCAGTTAGGAACGTTTGATCTATGTTTTTCAAAACATCATTCCTGCACTTGGCCCTAACTCCCTTAAAATTCACCTCACCTTAATTATTTCGGTGAATGTAACCTGATTCTCGTTTAGCTGAGGAGTGTTTTAAGTGAGAAAAAATAGTTGAGGTCTACTGTAGGAAGACATGTGTTCAGTACTCAAATAATCTGATTTTGGATATTACCTTAGGATGGAAATATGAAAGCAGGCAGACACGTCTTCCAATGTAGGAAATACTAGTATTGAAATAATTGTGCTCTGTATCCGCTGTGGACAAAAACAAAGAAAAACGGCGCGACCCTCCACTGAGTAACTGGTGTGAGACCCCTGGCAATAGAGAAGGAGGGATCAGAAACTTATTTTACCTGTTTTTCACCATTCTGAGCCTATCTGCTGTGAGGGTCTTTTGGTCCCTGCTAAACCACTTTCTCCTGTTGCAGCTCATGTCCCTAAATCTTTCATGGGCTCCTGCCTCACTTTTGTTTTTTACCAGGACTCACACTTAACTAAATCATCCATTCATTGTTATTGAATTCAGTCCTTCAGTGAACGGTGGTTAATCCACCGTATATTTTGTGCCAGGCACTGTACACGTTCTGTAAATGAAACAGAACCAGATCCTGCCACCCTAGAACTTACAGTGTAGGGGAGGTGTTCAGTTCAGTCGGCGATGGCTGTCAGGTGGTCACAGGTGCTTTTATGGGGACATACAGGACCCTGCACGGGAGCACGTGAGGAGGGCGCTGGCCTCCAGTGTCACGACGGGAGGAGTCTCCCTGCAATGAGAAGTGTTTATGTTGTGATTAGGAGGATGGGCTGCAGCTGGGCAGGCTAAGGGCATGGTGCCTGGGGAGAGAGTTCTAGACACAGTGCACAGATGTGCCAAGATGCAGAGGTGAGAGAGCTTGGCCCTCTGGGGCAAGGAATGCCGATTGGCTGGACTCCAGTGTAGAGCACAGGAGAGGGTATGAGACTGCAGAGGTGACTGACTTCACACACTTGTCCTGCTGCCCCATGTCCCCATGTCCCCACACAGAAACAGCGTCACTGCCCTCCAGCTGGCCTCTGCAGAAGATCTTACTCTTCGCTTTGACTTTTGAATTCTTAATAATCCAACAGACCATGCCGGACGACTGCTGGCCCCTGAGCTCTCGGTTGCTACCTCCATACTTGCTTCTTATGCATTCCTTAATGTCAGAGTTTAATTTGGTGGCAAACCCAAGTCCTAGCCTTTCCTAGAGGTATCTCCCAGCCACTCGTCTCTTCTCCACCCCTTTGGTGCTTTGATAGTTTCATGACTCCTGTTAACGTTTGCCTTATACAGCGTTCAACTGTGACTGAACTGATTTTATTTTGTTTCCTTTGCCATCCCATATAGACTAAAATTATTTGAGCATAGGGCCAATATGTCACCCTTCTCCTGGGTCCCCACAAAAATTAGCACAGTCTTTGGCTGATAATGAAAATCCTTCATTCTCCCAAATCTCCAGGTAGAATTATAGGTTGTAAATTGCTGGCTAGCAACACATAGATGGATTTTTAGGAAGAAAAACACAGAGATTATTACGAGGGTGAACTGTCCTGTTATTTCATAGATTTATGAGCTGTTAGGACCGGAAAGGTCCTTGGAGATAATCTATCCAAATTTGCCCCTTTATGGTTGTGGACTCGTGGTCCCTGAGGGGTTAACGACCTATTCGAGATTCCACTACCAGTTAGTGGTGAAACTGGGGGTTCCTCTTCTTTGATCCTTAGTCTAATTCTGAATTCCTTATTTGGGTGTTTAAAGAATTTGTTTGATAATGTAGGCCAAAAGTAAATGCTCATGTAACTCCGATGTTTAAAACATTGTTTCAAGGAATAGTTTGGTGCCTTAGTTTCTTAGCTCCCATACTGGGAAAAAGCACACGAACCAAGTTCTGTAGAACTTATAAAATGTTTTTGTTTCTCTGAAAATAGTTGTTCTACTTTTGTTCTTCATTTCTATAACTGATTTCAAAATTATTGTTCTAAAATACTGACAAGCCACTGACACAGAGGAATCAGGGAAAGTGAAGTTTAACAGAAGTGGAAGTAAAAACTGACCGCAGAGTTCAGGAGATATGTAGAAGTTCTGCTTTTCTGAGAACAGCACAAATTCGTTTTCTCTCTAAGCATTGTCTTCAGTGGCCGTGAATCAAGCAGTTGTGTTGCCAGAATGCCTTGTCATCCTTTGGGCTGACTGCTTTATCAGATTTTGTAATAATTTGAGGGAATTGTCTGTTTTATTTATTATGATCACATGAATTCTGTCATTTACATCACAAAGTTAAGTAAAGCCATAGCAATTTTCAATAGTAACCAAGAGTTTTAATTGCCTGGGGGATATATTGAATGGATATATGGAAGCCGGTCAGATTACACTGACCTTTATATTAGTCCTGTGTCTGTCAGTAGCATATGGAGGTGGTGGAGGTCCACACAGAATCCTAACCAGTTTACCACTTTGTGACCTTGAGGAGACAGCTCACCTTTCTCAGCGGGGGATCTTTTGGTGTAAGATCTATTAGGGATACCCCAATAGAATAGTTGTCAGGATTAAGTAAAATAATGTATTTGAGTAGTTGAAAAATTATAGAGTAGGTATTAACTGTAAATGGGCTGTTTCTTAAGCCATTTTTTTTTTTTGTTAACTACTACATTTGGATGTTATAATTCCTGAGACCCTTCTTTCTCTGCACTGCCACAGTACTTTGCATTCTGCTACAGGATTTCTGACACATTGTTTCACTGCTGATTTTGAATACCTCTTCCAATATTCTCAGCCCCTCCAGCGCAGTTCTTCCTTTCTCCTACTGTAGGTCTAGCACGACTTAAAAAAAAAAAAGTTTTTGAATGAATCAGTGGGTCAGACCCATAGATTGTCTGGATCAGATATAGAAGGAGCGTGAAACTTTGAGAAAACAACATAAAAGGAGGTGAAAATCTTTCCATGTTTGATAGTCATTCTAAATTTTAAATGCATCACTTCTTCATTTCCTTTTGGACTTTGCAAACCGTCTGAGAAAGGTGGTCTGCTTTATTTATGCTTTAAATAAATTGGGAGAAAAACTCGAGCTTGAGATCATCACCTCTGCAGAAGCTGACAAAGGTAGATGCTGAGTTTGATGGTGACTCAAGAGATTCAAATCATAATAACATCACAGTTCTTGGTCACAAACCTAAACATATGTCATGTTTTCTGCAGGCAAAATCCCAGACTTGTTACCTGAAGGTTCTGTAGATGGGGACACCAAGATGGTCCTGGTGAATGCTGTCTACTTCAAAGGAAAGTGGAAAACTCCATTTGAGAAGAAATTAAATGGGCTTTATCCTTTCCGTGTGAACGCGGTATGAGACAAGATGGATTTTCCTAGCATGTATTTTAGGACCTTGGCCAAGACAGAAAAAGAAAAGTTAGAGACCACTCATGCTCCTGCATGACTTGTTAGTCATAAATTATGCACATTGGATAGTTGGTTGACTCCTTCAAGCTACTGAGTATCGCTCAGTAATTTTCTGAGAGGCCATATAAGTGATGGTGAAGACCATGGGCTTTACAATTACGTAATTCTGGATGCAGTTGTAGGTTCTGCCACTAAGGTGCTACCAGTAACCATCCATGACCTTATTTATCTTCTGGGAATTCCATTTTTTAATCAGTAAAACTTGGCTATTGTAAGGATTCAGTGAGATTTCACCGAGTTCTTGGCCCATGGCAGGTACTGAACAAACATTTTCGTATTATTATAATTATTATTGTTGTCCATCTTAATAATAGATGGAATCATGATAAAGCTAATAAGAGCAACTGTAAGGTATAAATAATTTATTTTGTTGATTTTTAAGATTGTATTTCTTCAACACTAAAGCAGAATCTATTTCTCTTTTATGTCTAATTGTAAATCTCCTGACATCTTAGTATCAACTTTCATATTTTACTTCTTAATAATTTTAGACTCAGCGCAAACCTGTACAGATGATGTACTTGCATAAAGAGCTGAACATTGGATACATAAGCGACCTAAAGACTCAGATTCTGGAACTCCCATATGCTGGAGGCGTCAGCATGTTCCTGTTGCTTCCAGATGAAATTGGTGATGTGTCCACTGGCTTGGAGTTGGTAAGCCATTCCAGCTTGGATTGTTTGAAACCTCTGGAGCTAAACTCACCTTTCATGATAAACATGCCTACAGGTCTAGAAAATGGTATGCAGCTCCTCACAGAAACATGCGAATTGGTTGATAATAAACGTTCATGTCTCAAACTTTCATTCAGAGCATGAAAATATGTCACACATGTTACGTTCTTGCAAATATTTTACCGGTGTATTACATTTTTATATTGCCCACAATATGGTAAAGTTATAGTCACTGATTGTTAACATGAGACTTATCTGTTATTTGCCTTCTTTTCTGAGTACTTACAGGCTTTTTTTTTTTTTTTAATTTTGGCTTTGTAGCTGGAAAGTGAACTAACCTATGATAAATTCATTAACTGGACCAGCAAAGACACTCTAGCCGAAGACGATGTGGAGGTGTACCTCCCCCAGTTCAAATTAGAAGAGCGCTATGAACTCAGATCCATCCTCAGGAGCATGGGCATGGAGGAAGCCTTCAGCCAGAGCCAGGCTGACTTCTCAGGAATGTCCGACACCAATGACCTGTTTCTGTCCCAAGTGTTCCATCAAGCCACCGTGGACGTGAACGAGGAGGGCACGGAAGCAGCTGCCGGCACCGGGGCCGTTCTGTCAGGGAGGACTGGCCATGGAGGTCCACAGTTTGTGGCAGACCATCCTTTCCTCTTCTTTATCATGCACAAAATCACCAAGAACATCCTTTTTTTTGGCCGGTTTATCTCACCCGAAAATTGATAAGTTCTGTTTCTGCACAGGATTTCGTAGTATGAGCTGTAAGATTCCATGAATTGCAATAAGTGCCAAAAATTTAGAGACTTTTCCTATACATTTCTGCTTTTTTCTGAACAACTCCTACTACACGCTAATGATAAGTACCGAAATAACGAGACAGCTGTCCACCATAACGTTGCAAGCCTATTAATCATTTGGTCTCCTAAGTGGAATGATGCTCCAGTTAGGTCTTCCTTACTACCGGTTTATTGTATAGCATTAACTTTTACTATATTATTTATTATTTTATAGAATGGTCTTAATTATTGTTCACTGTCAGTTTCATATAGCTGATAGTTACAGAAGCAGATGATCAGTTATTTTTCTATCTAAAAAAGGACATTTACTTGTTTGTATAATGAGGGATGAGTGGTTGTCCTTTCCATGCCCTTTTTATAATAAATACCTAGAAGAAAGCATTGAACAACAGGAAAATATATGTCATGTGCATTTCTAGCATTATGTATCACATAGATGTGTCTATAACTTATAAAATTACAACTACATATAAAAAATAAACATGTTTCTACACAACCATTTGTTTGTTGTCATTCCATTGGGTGGTTAGCTCCTAAGACTTGTCATACCTTGATCCCCAGGGATCAGGCATCGTGTCTCATTTTGTGGGGACCAAGAAAAAACAGAATAAAGGAGATAAGAAGATATCCACCCCTGCAGGAACCCCCAGTGTTGGGAGTGGGATGGGGTTGTGTGTAAAATGGTTTAGAGTTGCCTTCTCATAGCAGGAAAAGGCACAGCAATTCAGAAAAGCTTGAGTCAAAGTCCTTTGGGGATCCTCATGGCTAAACCTCAAGGATATCGGGAATAAACACCAGGTCCAATGGTTCAGACATAGAATCATGGTCAAGGTCATTGAGCTGGGGGTTCAGAGAGGGGAAGATGGGCTGGGCGTAAGAGTAAGAGGGGAAACACAAATGTCTTCTTTTAGGGGTGTTTGCTTCCAATAGTGCTGAAAGCTTTGAGTGGGTCAAAGACAGAGCAGAACATGACTTAGGTCCTGAGAACTGAGGCGGGTCTGGTTTGGGGAGTCCGAGCTGGCTGCAGAGTCTGGCTGCAGGGGTGTGGCTGGACTCTGAGAATGTCTCCCAGGCAGCAGCCTCCCCTTAACGGAAGGCAGGGACAGATGATCCACTGGAATATGGTGGCTAAGCAGGTAATATCAGGCCCTTGATTGTCAGCCCCTACAGCTCAGTTTTAGTCCTTATGAGTCGTCTAACCATGGGCCAGGAAGGGTGCTTCTTTACGCTTCGGTTTTCAGTCTAGAAAAAGTAATGCTTTTCTCATAAGGTTGCCATGATGGTTAAATGAATTCATACATCATAAACAATTGAAAGAATGCTGAGCACGTACAGAGTTTAATAAGTACTAGTGCTGGTGTTTATTATCTTTGTCAGAAATAAAACTGTCTCACTGTCAGCAGGTCAAATGTAGAATCCTGGAAAATTACAAAAAAAAAATAGGTGTGTAAAGCTTGAATTGTGGTTTGTTTCCTCTACATCAAACATTCTTGAAAATTAAGGGTTCTGCTTGCATTCTCTTATGTTTAGATTCATTTTTCTATGAACTTCAATGATTTAGCAATTCGATAAGTCGCAGCTTTGGGAATCATTGAGTCTTTAGATATCCATATTTCTCACTCTCATTATTGAGTTAGAGGATGGGCATGGAATTCGAGGTTCAAAGCACTCTTCACGACTTTAGTGGTATGATTTTATGGTCTTCTAGCACCAAAAATTGCTGGTGGGAAAGTTGATGTCAAGATAATTCTTTCTCCTTGTAGTTTTCATAATTTTCTTTGTGTTCCTAATGATGTTTTTGATATTTCCTTGCATTAAGACTATTTTTTAGAATTGTTCTGAAAAATTTGTCTTGCTCATCAGCAGATTTTTTCCGTCTGGAAACTTGTATCTTGCTTCAGTTCTGGGAAACTGAGCCATTGCTGTGGACTGAATGTTTGTGTCCCTCTGCCCCATATGTATGTGAAAGCCCTCATTTCTTTTTTTTTTAGCATTTTATTTATTTAGTTAGTTATTTTTTATTATGTTATGTTAATCACCATACATTACATCATTAGTTTTTGATGTAGTGTTCCATGATTCATTGTTTGTGTATTACACCTAGTGCTCCACGCAGAACGTGCCCTCTTTAATACCCATCACCAGGCTAACCCATCCTCCCAGCCCCCTCCCCTCTAGAACCTTCAGTTTTTCAGAGTCCATCGTCTCTCATGGTTCATCTCCCCTTCCGATTTCTCCCCCTTCATTCTTCCCCTCCTGCTATCTTCCTCTTCTTTTTTTTTTTTTTAACATATACTGTATTGTTTCAGAGGTACAGATCTGTGATTCAACAGTCTTGCACAATTCACAGCACTCACCATAGCACTTCTGGGTATTTACCCCAAAGATACAAATGTAGGGATCTGAAGGGGTACGTGCACCCCAATATTTATAGCAGCAATGTCCACAATAGCCAAACTGTGGAAAGAGCCAAGATGTCCATCGACAGATTAATGGATAAAAAAGATGTGAGATATACACACACACACACACACACACACACACACACACACACACACACACACAATGGAATATTATGCAGCCATCAAAAGGAATGAAATCTTGCCATTTGCAACAACATGGATGGAACTGGGGGGTGTTATGCTGAGCAGAATAAGTCAATCAGAGAAAGACATGTATCATATGACCTCACTGATATGAGGAATTCTTAATCTCAGGAAACAAACTAAGGGTTGCTGGAGTGGTGGGGGGTGGGAGGGATGGGGTGGCTGGGTATGTGCTATGGAAAGCCCTCATTTCTAATGTGATGGTATTTGGAGATGGGGCCTTTGGACAGTGGTTAGGGTTAGATTAAGTCATGAGGGTGGTATCTTCATGATGTAATTGGTGCCCTGAGGAGGAGATAAGGAATCAGAGCTTCCTCTTTTTTTTTTCTTAAAGATTTTATTTATTTATTTGAGAGAGAGAGAGAATGAGAGATAGAGAGCACGAGAGGGAAGAGAGTCAGAGGGAGAAGCAGACTCCCCGCTGAGCAGGGAGCCCGATGCGGGACTTGATCCCGGGACTCCAGGATCATGACCTGAGCCGAAGGCAGTCGCTTAACCAACTGAGCCACCCAGGCGCCCCAGAGCTTCCTCTTTCCACCATATGAGGACACAGAGAGTAGGCAGACTACTGTGAACCACGAAGAGAGCCCTTACCCAAAACCCAACCAGCCTGGCACCCTGATCTCAGATTTCCAGCCCCTAGAACTGTGAAAACAAAAAATGTTTGTGGTTTAAACCACCCAGTCTCTGGTATTCTCTTATAGCAACCCATAGGAATAGGGCAACCATTATCCACTCATTGTCTCTTCCCACTCAATTTATACTCTTCTTCTGAATTCCTATGAGAATATTATTGATGCATCTAGAGTTCTCTCTGTCTTGGAAATTTTTGGAATACCTAATAAATTCATGTGGTCTAAACATCAATATCATAAAAAAGGCCAGAGCAAAAACTATCCCTCCCACCCCTGTTCCCCATTCATATAGTTCCTATCCCTATGGCTCTGTTAGTAATGTCTGTACATATTGCCACATACACATAGGGCAGGCCATAAATGATGACAACAAACAAAACTATGTTGATAAAATTATGTTGTTAACTTAGGATACTAATACCTCTTTTTCTTTCCCTGCCCACCCCCAAACCGGCATCAAAATAAGGCACAACCATGATTTTATCAACATGGGTAGTATATCTATAAGAATTTTAATCAAGAGGTAAGTGGGAAAGGAATCTGGAGAAGGTTCGGGGGAAATCAATGGGTAAAACTTAGTTTGTGACTTTAGAGAAGAGGAAAACATTTCTTGGCCGGTTTGGCAGTTTCTGCATTGATGCATTTAATGCAACATAAATAACTGGGGCGTCTCCGTGCTGGGCACTGATGTAGCCCAAGTCACTCTCTGGTGAACTACTGCCAGTCAAGATGAACGGTCCCTCTATCTACAGCTTCCATGTGATACTTTCAGCTAATAACAGTCTGGAGGCATCAATAGATACTACTATCTTCTCAGCACACGTCAGGCAGGAGCAATAGAATTTCTTGCACAAGTCACATTCCCTAGTGAAGTCCAGAGAAACACTCTGCTCTGGGTTCCGCACTAACCTTCAAATGTTAAACTCTGAGCCAGTTTACCAGAAGACAAGTGTGCCCCATGAAGAGAACAATGCAAAGTGCATGAAGAACATTCCAAATCTGTTAGAAGTAGAGAGGCTCCTTCTCTCCCTCAGTCCCTCTGGAACGTTCTCAGTTCCATCCCTCTCCTCCCAGCCCCCTTACCACCCCACCACGCACAGGCATTCAGCTGTAGAAAATAAAACAATAACTATGGTTTTTCCTGTTGAAGAAGTCTGGAGGAGTGAGGGAACATTCATAGGAAGAGATAAAAGGAAATTTAAAAATGATGAACTGGCATCTGACTCAGCAACTGTGTCTAAACCAGTGGTCCAGACCCCTTGTTCCTGGGGTGGGAGAATGGATGGAGTGGTTTCCTGGGTTCCACACCAACCCATCAAGGGAGAAGAGCACCGACATTTGTTGGATGCCTCTAGCACACGGCACCTTAAGAGCGGCTTTAACAACTTAACAGCAAATATTTCACCCATAATATTTTCTATTTTACTGCCCATTATTATGCCACTAATTTAGAACTTTCTATTTTTTTTTTTTTTTAAGAAATACTACGGGGGAACACTACTAGAATTGCTTCCGATTGGCAGACTACAGAAGAGTAAGCAAGGAAAGTGTGAGTTGTTAGAATTTGTCAGAGCTCAGGTTTCTACCTGTAAACGGACATGGAAAGTGTAGGTAATTAAGTCATTCAGGCAAAACCTTCATTGTTGATCTCTGTCTTTTGATTTGAGCTCCTGGCCAAGAGAAAAAGTGAATCAGAGGGTGGGGCCGAGAAAAGGGAGGTGGTAGAATTTTTAAAGATGATTCCTACAGTTAACAGTTACTTAACTCAGCCACAATCTCTTATTAAAGGAACCAGTTGCCAGTTCTGCTCCAGCAGAAGAAAATAAGGTATCGTAAACATTTTTTTTAAATGTTTATTTATGCTTTCCTTCTTTATTGAAGTGTCTAGCTAAGTAGCAAACGATCAAGAGCTCCCAAAGACAGAAATAATAGGTAAAGCTTCATCTCCCCAAGAATTCTATACAAGTCAGACAGATTTAATCCCAAGCTGGTTCAAAGTTCGTATGGGAAAGAGGGCAAAGGGGAAGAGAGAGCATTCATTTAAAGGGAGCTAGAGAAATGGTTTTACCGGGAATTGTGAAGCTGTGAATGGCATCTCCTCCAGCCACATCTCTAGATTGGCCGCCTCTGTATCTGTCAACATAGGCAAAGAGAAGTAGAATATTCTCTGAATAATTGAGGCCGCCCCCTTTTAACCCTTCAGAAGAGCGGGCTTGGTAATATGAATTTGATCCCCATCATTAATGTGTGGAATT